TGAGCTTATTGACAGTGTAGGCTTATTGAAAGAAAACTACAGAATGGCAGCACCTGTACAAAAAATATTTTTTCATTAACTTTTTATCCCATAAGGTCCCAATCACATGAGTAATATTAAAGTTGACAATCGTGTGTCGTGTACAATTTTACGTTGAAAAACCGTGAAAAAGCGAGTCCGCAACGGCCAAAACCACAAAGTAGAGAGGGACTAGTGTATATACACATAAATATATATATTTTTACTTTTAATTAAATAGGTACTGGTAACGTACATAAAAATGTACATTAAATGTTTGTTTTTTTTGTTAATTAATAAATAAATTAGCTGCAGCATTGTATAAGCTGTGGGGTTTGAAATATAATTTTATCAGATAATATATTAACTTAACGAAATGTCTAGATATATGTATCCCATTTTGATATTTAGAATGATATTGTGTTAAAACATGATCTGATTCCGTTTCCGGTAGAAAATGTAGTTTCAGCTACATGCCTACAACTCCCAGACATCCACGCACCCACCCATTATAGAACACAAGATGGCTAGATATTATTGGTTGAGAGCTGGGTCACATGATAAGAGTAGGATTTCCCATTCGTTGACTGTGACGACAACTCCAGGAGGTGTTTTTTCATTCAACCTTTATTTATACAGGTTAGTCTCATTGAGTTGCAAGGACTCATTTACAAGAGAGACCTGATTTTAACAAAGAACACAGGTGAGATAAAAACAACAGAAATTCATATAAAACCATATAAAATGAAAAGTAAATAGAAGAAATTATATGTTAAAAAAAAGTTACATTATAAAGCTGAGTAAAATGCTAAAAGCAGGAACATGTCTGCGTTGGTTTTTGCCAGGAACTTAGCAGTTGTTCCTTAAGGTCAAGGTTGAGCGAGTCAGATCTTTTTGTAAGATATTCCAGGAAACGGGAGCGGAGTAGGAGAAGGCCCTTTTGCCAAGTTCATTCCTCACTGAGGGAACACTGCAGGTAATAATGTCCTGAGAGTGCACGCTGTAACTGCACTCACGCAGAGACATGTAGGAGGAGATGTATGAAGGCAGCAGACCAAGAAGTGATTTAAAGATGAAAATGTACCAGTGGGAGAGTCTGCGTGAAGTTAATGATGTCCAGTTAACCAGTGAATACAGGGTGCAGTGGTGGGTACGATAATCACAGCCAGTTATGAATCTTAGTGCACCATGATAGACATCATCCAACATCTGCAGGGTTCTTGTAGGAGCGTTCATGTAAATAATGTCATCGTAATCAATGGAGGGAAGGAAAGTCACAGATACAAGGCGTTTCCTAGCATTCAGGGTTAGACAGGATCTGTTTCTGAAAAAAAAAAAAAACAGTTTAACTTTCAGATTCTTTACCAAGTTTTCCACATGAAGCTTAAAAGAGAGATGTGAGTCGACCAAGATACCCAAATATTATTGGAATCAACAAACTCAATCGGGACATCATTTGAGGATGAGATCAGAGGAAGAACTGCTGGGACCAACTTCCTATTTGAAATAAGCATCCCTTTGGTTTTGTCGGCATTTAGGACAAGTTTGAGGTGGAACAAATCTGACTGGATGATGTTGAATGCAGATTTCAAAAGCTGGAAAGCCTTAGCAACAGTTTTAGCTCGACAATAAACAACTGTGTCATCAGCATAGAAATGTATGGATGCATCAGGGATGTTTTTACCTACATTATGTATGTAGATTGTAAAGAGGGTGGGTCCTAAGACTGAGCCTTGTGGTACACCATTGTTGACTGTTAAATAACTGGAGGAAGTACCATTATGTTGAACACATTGCCTCCAGTCTGAGAGATAGTTAGAGAACCAACCAGTGGTGTGTTCTGAGAAACTGATTTCTGAGGGTTTATGACACAAGATGTTATGATCCACAGTGTCAAAAGCTGTACAGTGCAGAACAATACTCCTTAGCATCCAATGCTTCAACATCATTAGTTGTGACAAGTTGTGACTTGGCGCTACATAAATAAACTGAATTGAATCGTCATTAAGTGCTGAGAACAAAAGACGACTTTAAGTGTGTGTGTGTGTGTGTGTGTGTGTGTGCGTGTGCGTGTGTGTGTGTGTGTGTACGCGCGCGTGTGTCATGAGGGAGAGAATTTAAAGATTTTTGAGCTTCGACAGCGGCTTGGTTGATAATAACTAAACGGTTGTGCTATCATTCTAAATAATTTAGTAACTGTTAATTGTAATAATGAGAAGTAAAACAGTTCCCTAAAGGCTTAAAGGTCTTTCTCCTCCGCAGCTGTCAGCCCTGTCACTTCCCTGTCAAGTTACCTGCAACAAGCCGGAGTTTTCAAATAAATGCCAAACACATTCAATTATTTAGAAGAATAAACTTTTTCAAGATGAAAAAATGAGTTTTATTTCCAAACAACCCTTGTATTTCATGATGCGTTTGGGTTCATCTGGAACTTTTGCCACTCTGCAAATATGGTTAAAATTAGGTGTATGAGATGTACAATGGTTACCTATTTGCTTACACTTATTGTAAAATATGAATGTTATTATACTTATTTAAACAACGCTTTTTGTAAGGTTTTAATTTAGCGTTTTATTCACATCTTTAAATAAATAAACAATAAAGCCGGTGTTTTATTTTGAAGGGTTGAGCAGGAAGTGGAGAGCTCGTTATGAATTTTGACAAGTGCTGCTCAGAGTGGCGTGTTCCTGCAAAGTGAGTGAATATTTATTTAATTGAGGTCTTTTCTGTGTTTTACTTCCAGTGGAATCCCTGAGAAAAGGTGTGTTGTTGAAGGAGATGCGGGCTGTGATGGATTCTTAACCGGACATCTAAAAAGAAACAGTTCGGGTTTGTCCGGGTAAGTTTGGCTCGGCAGCTCGGCGGAGCACCGTTCACTCTTTGTTCAGCCAGCCAGGCCTTGCCCGGATGTGTACCGTCCCAACTGGGAAGAACGTGACGCCGAACTCCATGAAAACTAATCTGCGGTTTACCTAAATCTGCCTTCTCCTTGAATTTAGGCACTTGTGTAGCAGACTTTTACTTTATTTTGGACTGTTTGGCGCTATTCTTGAATTCGGCTTTAATTAAATACGGTAAATATCCCTATTTTAAGATCAAATCTTTATTTTTAAAATTTAGCTGACGGCCGTTAATGAAGTTAGTAACAGTCTTTAGCAGGTGAGCAAATTTTAAAAACTATACACGTTTGATTAATATATACAAAATTTATTAAAGTAAGGCTCCCCGAAATGACGAGTGATTGTTAAGGCTTTGTGCAACTTTTCGTGACACTTATTTTATTGTGATTAATTAGATTTTTAGCGACGATTCATTTAAACCGTTAAAAAGATAATGGAGACAGACGTGAGGGATCAGCCGGGCCTAGCGTTAGCCGTAGCTAAGCTAATTAGCACACCTGAGCTGTCAGGGAGTAAAGTTAACCAGACATCTGCGACTGTGAAAATAATCTCAAATTATTGGCATTTATTAACTTAAAGGTAGTACAGAGCCTAGATAAAATGTATTTTTTGTTTAATAATTTCTAAGTTCTTTACAAGCGTGAATAAAAAGTACAGGTATAGTTAAAAACATTTAATGCTAGCAGTGAAATGTCTCTAAAAAGTAAAAGTAAAAACGTTAAAGTTTCTAAAGATATTTTTGAAAGGTTTCATTGCAGCTACTGCCTAGTTTTCCAACATTTAACTGTAATAATCTACTATTGGATTTATTTTAAACAAATTTCACAAATTTTAGATAATGTCAATAGAAAATAAAAGCAAATATGTTCTTATTTTTAGTATTTTACCACCCTTTTAGCACCCTGATTTATTGTTTTATAACACTACTTTTATTGTAACGTAGTTTATTGTTATTATTGTTTACTGTTATTGTTGTCTGTACTTTACATGTTCTGTCTGGAACAGGTCTTTCTTGTAAATGAGTCCTCGTGGCTCAATGAGACTACCTGTATAAATAAAGATTGAATGAATGAATGTTGGAAAACGATGGATAAACTGTAGAAGTGTAGAGAAGATTAGTTCAAACTGCTGCCAGAGGCAGTGTTGCCAGATAGTCGAGGTTTTCCAGCCCAAATATCTGATAAAAATCGCCTCATCACACAAAAACCCGCCCACACACACACACACACACACAATACCCCCCCCCCCCCACCCAAAAAAAAAAAGATATATTGGTGTTTATATGTTCATCAATATGATTAATCAAAATCAGTTACATGTGAATGTTAGTGTTCGTTAAGTCAGGTCCTCAGGATGTTAAAAAAAAAAAGTATATATTTTTTTTATTTTTTGAACATACAGAGGACCTGACTTAACTTTTTTAGATTTTTCTACCTGGATTATTGAACTTGGATCAAGATGTTAGTGTTCTTTATTCAGAGAATCAACAGGATCTGGTTATTATAGACACAGATTAAATGTTCAATATGAATATTTCTATATTTATCACCACAGTAATAGTGTTACACACATTAGTAGTTGTAACACCCAAAAGAATACACATGTTGGCTTAGTGCTTACATTTAACCTAAATATTTTATGAATAAACATTTTTAATAATCACTTTAAATCTTGTCTTTGGTGCCTGTTTGATTTCCACATATATTAGTGTGTGTGAATGACCGGCATTAACATAAAGCACTTTGTAGAACGGTGCTTTATAAAGTTAAGTGCATTTCCTTTATTAGTTGACCGGCAGTTATGCCACATCCAATATGGCGGCTGCTCCGACATACCACTGCAACGTGTCCCCCAGCTCAACCAGGCGTCCACTAAAACTGCCTCACCAGTTCTCTGTTGTAAATGCCCTGGCAGAGATGATGCCAATCAGTGATGAAGAAAGGTCAGGGGATCTTTGAACCAATAATGATGAATGATTGTTTGAAATGTGTTTAATAGATTAACTCAAAAACCGCTGATCTGACTCCAAATACACCCAAATTATCCCCACCCGCCCAAAACAATTTTTACCTGCAAAATCAGAATGAAAACCGCCCAATCTGGCAACACTGGCCAGATGCTCAATGGTCACCATGGTAACCACACCTGCATGTCTCACTTCTCAACTGCCAGGTTCACAAGATGCAGACTAAAAAGTAAGCCTCAAACAAACAGTTGCTGTGCAAACATTATATGTTTAAATCTTATTGTTAAATCCTTATAAATTCACAACCTGTAAGCGAGAGAGGACCGTGTTTTCCATATGACGAGGTAAATACATACTTCACTTCCTGTTTTAAAGAGAATATTCTGAATGAAACTTACTGAATCTAACTATGGAAGGTGGGGGTGTACTCTGTATGCTGGGGGGCTGTGATAAGTCCTAAAACAAGACGCTGAAAGACACTGTTTTCAGGTACATACCTGAAAGAGATGTGGGACGTAAGATGAGTTCTCAAAAATTAGGAAGAATTCTGCACCTTAAAGCTAAAACTAGCAGAACACTAGCTAAAAGCTAATATCAGCCAAAAGTTAAAATTACCACTCAGCCAAAAGTAGCAAAACTGTGGCTAAAGGCTAAAACTAACAAAAAAGTAGCTAAACGATAAAGATTAATAAAAAAAAAATGGAGCGTCTATGCTGTAGATTTCAGAGAGGAATGTTTTTTGAAATTGAAGCAGGCTTGATCTATTTTATTGAAGATTTTTTAAATAAAGTTAAATATTTTGATAAGTATAAAAGTTACACAGTTAAATGCACAGCACACTTTACCCAAATGAGCTGAATGTTTATCTGTAAGAATAATTAAAATAGCACAAAGTATGTAGGAGTCTGCAAAAATGTACGCAAGAAAATATAAAAAACGGTAATGAGAAAGTTGAGTTGGTTCACTTAGTTTTCACTTATAACACATAATAAGAATATAAATTATATATATATATTATATAATATATATTTATACATATATATATCAAAATAAAATGTAAAAGAAAAACAATGATAACATCTAAGATATGAACTTAGATGTTAGTTCATATCTTAGATGTAATCATTGTTTTCTTTTACATTTTATTGTTGGATGTAACTGGGACCCTGTGTACATAATTTCGCTCCACCACATGTACCACATGAGGTGCGAATGACAATTAAGAATCTCTGACTCTGATAATTACACGTTTACAACGTGGGTACTGAAAGTAAAGTACAAAAGTAAAACGTCATTTTAGACACGGTGCTTGAACCATACAGTGTTCTGAGAAACTTCAGATACAAATGAAGCCATTTTCTTCTTCATCTTCTAGTTGTTATGGAGCCTGGGAGCTTAGATGATCTACAGCCTCAGGATGTCTCCACCTCCAGCATGCCCACTGTGATCGACCTGAGCAGGAGAGAGGAGGAACATGTCCTCGCCTCAGCACCTCACGATGTCCTGCGAATGGTCAAGAGCCCTGGCTGGTACCCAGACTCCAGGACCACCACTGAGACTGGTTCTTCAGATGTCACGCTTCAAGCAGGGGAACGAGTTCAACCAGACAATGCCTTATCCCACACTACAGTCACCGTGTCTTACGTGAGCAGGTCTCATGTCTTCTCCACTCACAGCTCCTTATCTCAACATATGCCTCTTTACACCGTGTCGCCTATCAGCAAGTTTTCCTTCCACCCTCTTGGTGACACAGATAACGGGCCCAGCGAGACCAGCTATACACTGAACCAGGACTGCTTGGAGCAGATGCAGGAGCCCCTAAACCTAGCCTTGCAGAGTGAACCTGCTCACCCGTTTTCTCTGGCTCAGTCTGGACCAGACACTGATGTGGGGACAAGCTTTGCTCCGGAGCCTCTTGGGTTGAACGGTGGAAACATTTCTAGTGATGGCTTCTTGGAAGAGCTGTTAGGAGACAACGAGCAGCACAAGTTTCCAGAGAACAAGAAGAACGGTTTGGAGAACGTTCAGCACAATGGCTGGTCAAGTTCCGGAGCACTTAGCGAATCTTCACCCGAGGTTCCTGTCAGAGAGGAGGATGATGAGAGAGGGAGCTCTGATGTGCTCTTCGTTATGTCTCAGAAGCAGGACTCGGACAGCACAGGTGCCAGAGGTCTGTGTTCTCTAAGCAAGGACTACAGGAGTCCCCTGGAGGACCCCGTCTCCCCATCTGCTACCTCACTGGACGATGTGACAGATGTGTTCCTGCTCCCTCAGGCCTCCAGCTCACCCAGCGCTGATGCCTCTTACCCCGAGAGAGATGAAGGGGGCTTGGAAAGGCCCACTCAGCCAAGCTGCTGTGTCATGCATGACTCCACGAGTTTACATTCAGATGAAACTAAACAATCAGCCCATGGATGGAAAGCCATGCTGACAGATGATCTGGAAAACAATAGGGTTGTTTTTCACGTCAACGGTAATGCAAAGACTCTAGACACAACTCTAAAGCAAAGGAAGCTGCCAGCCCGTTCTGGTAGAGGGACTCGCCTGGAGGCAATAGTCATGAATATAAATTCAAGCCGGTATAAAATATCAGGACGCATACGCACCAATAAAAAAGCCAGTGCCTCCCCATGTACACCTCCTGACTTTACCTCAAGCACTTCTAAGAGGAGTGGTAGATTGTCTAAAAGGAGAAGTAACGTGAATGTTCCTTTGTCTGTGAATCAAAACGTGACCGTGAAAAAAGGTAAATGTAACTTTAAGGCTGACTCTTGCAAAGACTCTACATTTGTTTCTGAACCCAGCAACAAGACGAAGTCTCGTAGTAGTGCACTCACAAAAAGCCCTCAGTTCCTGAGGTCAAACCAAGAACCGGCACAGCAGATTAGCACTGTAAGGTCTAAAAGGAAACCCTCTGCTGCACTTAGGAACTCAAAGAAGGAGCCAGAGCCTTCTCAGCCTGGACCGTCAGTGGAAATGAAAGTGCCAAAGTTTTCACCCCCTCTGCCACCATCAAATCCTCCAAAGAACAACCCAGGCAAAACCAAAAGGAAATCTCCTGGTAGCAAAGTGTCTCCCACTGCCAAGACGAAGCCAGCTCGGACTCCTAAACGGAGGCGGAAGAAACCCAGATGGAGCCAGACCTCATTGATCTTTGCTCCAAAGGAGCCAGAGATCAAGCTCAAATATGTCAACTACAAGGAGGACAAGAGGGACCCGAGGTTGGACGCTTTCTCTCCGTTTGTTCACGTCGAGCGTCAGGAGTCGTCGCCGTCGCTGTGCGCTCTGATCAACTACCCCGAGGAGGTGAAGACGCCACCTAAGAAGGGCCAGCAGCAGGCTTTTATTTCTCCAGCTGTACCCAGCACTTCCTGTCTGCGTCTGGGCCGGCCAGCCAAGCACAGCCAGCAACAGCGAGCGCTCGTCTGCTGCCTGTGTGGCCTCTCGGCCAACGCCGTGGACTTGGGAGACCTGCACGGACCCTATTACCCCGAAGGTTACCGACCAAACACCAAAGCACCATCCAGCGGTCTGAGCCTCAAGGAAGATGAGGACGACTTCAGTGATTCGGACTCTTCGTCCTGCAGCGTGAGGGCTAGGTCGTGGGCCCTCGTGCAGGCAGCTCAGCCGAAGCAGAAGGGCCTCCGAGGGGGCCGCAGCCCAGCAGCTAAACGGTCACGGTCTGATACCGGCCCAGCAGATGTGCAGGACTGGTACAGCCCGCCTGTGCTGCCTCAGGAGCTCTGCGAGTACTGGCTCCACGAGGACTGTGGCATCTGGTCTGCAGGCGTGTTCCTGGTGAAGGGCAGAGTGTACGGGCTGGAGGAGGCTGTGAAGGTGGCCCAGGAGACGGTAAAGATGCTCATGTAGATCTATGTCATGTAGATCTATGTCATGTAGATCTATGTCATGTAGAGCTGTTCACTATGATGAGCTGGAACAAAGCAGGTGTTATTTCCTGAGCCTCAGTGAGACTAATAGATGTTAGACTGAAGAACTCACAGGTTAAAAACAGACTGACAGGTTCCTGGACTCAGTTTGTTCAACATTAATAACAAAGTTAAAGTCTTCTATTCATTCATTCAACCTTTATTTAGACAGGTAAATCCCACTGAGCCTCGAGGACTCATTTACAAGAGAGACCTGAAAGGTTAAAGGGATATTCCAGCCATCTTGAAGTTTTACCAGCCTCAGTTTGGAGACTCTTTACGTTTGACAGTACTGACGAGCTAATGGCTAGTCTGAACGCAGCAAAGACCAATGTAATTTCTTCCAGCTTAACTCCAGTCACCAGATGTTTGCAGCGGTTCATGTTTAGGTTTACTGGAACCACAGAGATCCACTTAGGGTTTGGCTGTTCAGCAGGGACTCTGGGAATCCTGGAAAATGACTTTCACTTTTTCCAGACAGGGAAAACTTTGATCACTGAGCAGTTGATTAAAACATGATCTGACATTTCACTGTGTACTTGTATGCTAGTATTCAGTGAATCCATACTCTGCTTCCACGAGGTACACAGTACACAGATCTGATGTCATACAGTACAATTAATTATTAGGAATTGTTTCGACTCCTCGTACCGTAGGCTACAGTAAACTTCCTGTCATTTGTCCACCACTTAAGACGCTAAAGTCCCGAGTGTTTGGTGTGACTGAAATATTTACCGTAATTTCCTGACTATCAAGCGCACCCGAATATAAGCCACACCCACTAACTAAATTAATTAATTAAAATACAATTTTGTACATATATAGGCTGCGCTTGTCTATAAAACGTGGGTGTCCACGTTGTAACAAGATATTTACATAGAAAGATATTTTATACTTTTAATTAAATGCGTACAGTAAATGTTTTTTTGTGAACAGTGCCTCGGCTGGTTAAAATAAATAAATAAATAAATACATTGGCCTACCAGGAAACTGCAATCTTACCTGCAGCAGCTCTATTTCCTTCTTCGACAGCCAGATCAATGGCTTTAACTTGAAAAATGCATCATGTGCATTTCTTTGTGTTTCCATGATGAGGGTGTGAGCATGAAGCGCAAAATAACTGATCTGAAGAATTTAGTTCGAGTGCGTTTGATTTTCATTGGTCCACTGTGACCTGTTTGGTAATTTCATTGGTCAGAATTGTTTAACCTTTATTTATACAGGTAGTCTCGTTGAGCCATGAGGACCCACCCCTCAAGAGAGACGTGCTGTGGCTGAGTGGTTAGAGTCCTCCAATGCAAGAGTTGGGGGTTCAAATCCACCAGCAGTCACATGTCGAAGTGTCCCTGGGCAAGACACTGAACCCCTCATAGCCTCTGATGTGTGTCCCATCGGTGTATGAATGTGATAAAGCTCTGATTAGTCTCTTTAGACCAGGGGTGGGCAATTATTTTTTCCATGGAGCCACATGAGAAACAACAAATATTGTGGAGGGCTGGCACAAATGACTTTTTCATTCAACCTTTATTTAGACAGGTAAATCCCATTGAGCCTCGAGGACTCATTTACAAGAGAGACCTGATTTCAACTTAACTCAATACTGCATAATATTAATAGTATTTCATTATTAAAAGCAGTACATAGCACTGTTTTAACAAGCTGGTAAGATATCCTGATGCATGCTCAAGCTGGTAAGAGTATTTGTTATGATTAAGCAACAAAAAAGCGAGGTTTCCTTACAAAAAATGTCATTTATTCAGTTAAATTTCCCAGTACAATGGTAAACTGTTAACATTTTTACCATTTGTGACGTTATATTAATGATCATTTTCAGTCACATTCACCCCAAAACTCATTTTGAGTTTTATATACTGCTGGAAAAAGTTCTTAGCTTTGTAAATATATCATAATATTGTCTTTGTACTCCAAATATTATGAAACATCATATAATAGTGATCGTCACTGAACTGTGATTTCGAGTCCCGGTTCTTTACGTGCCTACATTTGTAGTCTAAACATCTCATTTGGTGTTTTTCAGTTCTTTTTTCTTGTTTAGTGTGAGAAGTTTAGTCTCTGTTGGGCTTTAACGGAAATGTTCAAGTCAGGTTGAAGGTCTGAGGTGGAGATGTGAAGCAAAGCTGACATCATCAGTGAGAGAGGATCTATATCTGGATTTGGTTAACTTCATTTGTTTACATATGTATTTTGTAATTCTCCTTATGGGGGCCGGTCAGAGTCAACCAAAGGGCCGCATGTGGCCCTGGGGCCGTACAATGCCCAGGTCTGCTTTAGAATGATTTGTTCAATTAGCTTTGTATAGATCTAGTAGAGTGCTGTATGAATGGGTAAATGAGGACACAGATTGTTGTGTAAAGCGCTTTGAGTATCTTGATCAGATAGAAAGGCGCTAGATAAGTACAGTCCATTTGTGTGTATTGGACAGCTATGAGAGCGCCCGGGTGTGACGAGGCTAAATGTTTTGATGGCATGAAGCTTGTTACCCTGTAAAAAAATAACTCCAGAAATTAGCCGCAGCGTTATTTAAGCCGCAGGATTCAAAGCCTGAGAAAAAAGTAGCGGCTTATAGTCCAGAAATTACGGTTATTCATATTAATTTCAGCTCGTGGAGTTTAGTGTGTTCAGACGTCAGCTGTTTGTCCAAAGGCCGTTCAGACAGATTTAAACAGCTAATAAAATAATTGGTACATTATATTACTAATTACTAATAATAATTAGTTCAAACTTTTCCATAAAACGCCACTCGTGCTTAGTGTTTTCTCGTGCTCCACATAGATTCTTTGACATTAACTGGTTTTATTTGTCGTCACGATCACTGACTGGTCTCGTCATCCTGATGTTGTGCAGGTGTGTTCAGCGTGTCTCGCTCCAGGTGCGACGCTGGGCTGCTTCTTTAAAGGCTGTTCCAGCAAATACCACTACAGGTGTGCTCTGGACTCAGGTGAGCGGGGTCAAACTTTGTCTCCCACAGTTTTGTCTCATGTTCTTATGTTTGTTACTGGTTTGCTTTGGTTTATTCATCCTAATATTTTGGTTTCATTCAGCGTAAAATCTGCTCTTGCCTAAAGTTTACATTTTCATAAAGAGAATAATTCACAAAGTGTCCAGACCTCCTCCACGTCCTGCAGTTTAGCTCTGATTGTTTTCATTAATCTACACAGCCTCATGACGACGAACACAACTTAAAACCATTACAAGTCCATGCTCAATAATCCAGGTATACAATCCAACTATTTTCAGTCAGGTCATCTGGACAGTTTCTTTTTTTGCTGAAGCGTTTCACCTTCCATCCAGAAGGCTTCATCAGTCAAGGAAACACAACACAAAACTGATTCTTCCCCCAAACAGCTTACTCCAAAGTGGAACAAACCAGTTATGTTGGTGCTAAGATGGTGTCTTTGGCAACGCCCCCTCCTCTGGAGCTGGCCCTCTTCCTCGTCGACAGTCACTTCAAACTGGTTCAAAACCAAAAAAGTCTGATGAAGCCTTCCGGATGGAAGGAGAAACATTTCAGCAAAAAAAGAAACCGTCCAGATGACCTGACTGAAAATAGTTAAACTTGAAACCATGTTTGAAAAGAAAAAGCAGAAACGTGACATTTTCAGGAGGATTCATCCAGAACTGACTCTGTTGTAGCAGAAGTTACAGCCTCGACTCGTTTTCACTTTGATGCAACAAACGTGGCTCACCTGCATCACAGGTGCATCCTGACATTTTTTTTTCTATAATGAGTCTGGTTGGATCAGGACTGCTGATTGAGCCATGTCCAGGTATCTCCAGATGTTCAGAACCTTCAGACTCCTGTGAGACTTCTCTGTGTGTGTTTGGGCTCGCCATCATGTTGAAGGTCCAGTGTGAGGTCCTGAGCTCTGGTTTTACTGAAGATATCTGGGTACTTTGCCCCATTCAGATCAGTTTCCAACCACAGCATGATGCTGCCACCACCGTGCTTCATGGAGGGGCAGGTGATGAGCACTTACCTTTAGAACGGAAGCTGATGAGTGGATCTGAACCTTGTTCCTCACTGTCTGAGGGTCCTTCTTGGAGAGAGGCTTCAGGAGAGCCTCTGCTAACAGGAGGCCTGCAGGTCTGCTGGTCTTTCTGGGTCTTGGTTTCATCCCCACACCGGAGCTCTGCAGCTCAGAGTGACCATGATAGTCAGCTCTCAGAAGAGTCCTGGTCTGGACGTCTCTGAGTATTACAGAGAGCTCCGAGCTCTGCAGGCCGTTCCTGGTTTGGTTCTGCTCTGATCTTCTGTGGAGGTCTTTGTTTCCACCCATCTGATGAGTTTAGTTCACTGCAGGTGGACTACAAACATCTCAGCTGGTAGCAAGACAAACTGAGCTAAACTTGTTCCTACAAACATCTGACTACTTTAGTATATTTCTTAATAAAATTACAAAAAGTTATCAAATAGTTTTGTTGTTGCAGTTATGAGGTGATGATGATAGAAAAAATAAATTCAGACGGTTGTAGCGTCGGGCTGTAACTTCACAAAAAGTGATTAAATCCTAAAGTTGCTGTGATTTATTTAGTGTCCGGTACATGAGAAGCACAAACTGATGGTGGTACGCTCACTTCCTGTCGAAAGAGTGTTTTCATGAACTTCCTGCCTGAACGTGCGGAGCGTCTGTAACTCTTCTCTCGTTCCAGCAGAATGTGTTCTCATCGAAGACAACTTCTCCATGAAATGTAAGAAGCACAAGGTGAGCAGCCAGCAACGCTCCACAAGAAGAAATCAAGCAATTCAATTAAAAATAACGTTTGACGTGTCACCTGCTTATAAACAACAAACGGATGAAACTTGTTAAACTTGTACTGATCTTTAGATTTCTGGTGTTTTCTCAGAACAAGACTCTGAAAGCTCCTCCAGGGGTCCGACGGGCCGACAGGTGACGGTTTGCAGGAAGCCTGTGAGGTCAGTACGTCTGCACTGACGAGATGTTCCTGCTCCGTCCGTCCCAGGTCACATTTAACCCAATCAGCCATGTTATTATTGTTTATTTGTCATATGCATGTTAACACAAGGTCAACAGTTCAATGAAATGTTCAAGATGAGAAGAACCGATTTGACTCGCTAAAAACAAAAGAACAAAAGAAATACTAAAGCATGTAATAAGGGTACAAAATAAAGTACCAAAAAGAGAAAAAGAAATATATTACAAAGTACAAAATAATATAGTAAACAACAACATGATAGAATATGACGGTGCAGGTAGGATGAATTGGTATAAATGAGTATTTCACAGGTAGTAATAAATAAGCTTAAGTGATATCTGATATACATGATATATTTTGCACATAACTAACAAACTACACTTGTTGTGTGACAGGTTATTGCACAGGTAGTGAGTGACATTGAGATGAATTATGATGTTAACGTAGTGACACACATGATACAGCCACATCGTGCAGCAGCAATAAACATATTAGTCGTCACAGATGTGGTTTAGTGCAAAGTTATTGTCAAGAGTTCAGTAATCTGACAGTTTGTGGATAATAACTGTCTGGGTCTTTTTGTACATGATGGCAGACTGATGTATCATCTGCCTGAGGGTAGTAGATGGAAGAGTCCTTGTGCTGGGTGGGTGTGGTCCTTCATGATGCTGTGTGCTTTACGCAGACATCGGCTGTGGTAGATGTCCTGGATGGTGTGGAGACTGGTACCAGTGATGTCCTCTGCTGTTTGCACCACTCTCTGTAGAGCTTTCCAGTTCTGACTGGTGCAGTTCCCATACCACCCTGTGATGCAGCCTGTCAGCAGGCTCTCAGTGGTGCACCTATAAAAGTTGGTGAGGATGCTGGTGTTCGTATCAAACTTCTTTCGTCTTCTTAGTTAGTAGAGTCTTTGTCAGGGTTTTTTGACCACAGTGTTTGTTTGTAAAGTCCAGGACAGATCTTCAGGAACATGAACACTGAGGAACTTGAAGCTGCTGACCTGCTCCACCTCAGTGTTGTTTATAGATGGAGTGCTGACCTCCACGCTGTTTCCTGAAGTCCATTATCTTATCATCTCCTTCATTTTGTTGACAATTAGAGAGAGATTATTTTCCTGACACCAGCTGTTTAGAGCCTAAAACTAATAGAAAACTGAACTGCGTTGCTTGTTCCTGTCATTTACTAATAAATAAACTAGCACTAATACAAGAAGTAAAACATGAACGTTTTCTTCAAAGAAGGACATATAAACAACTTCACATAAGCCTTCATAACTTCTTCCATCCATTATCTTTACCCGCTTCTTCCATTTTGGGTCACGGGGGTCGCCGGTGCTCATGTCCAGCAATCACTGTGCGAGGGGCGGGGGACACCCTGGACAGGTCTCCAGTCCATCTCAGGGACACGTAGAGACAAACAACCATTCACTCTCTCACTCACACCTAGGGACAATTTAGAGTTACCAATCAGCCTAACATACATGTTTTTGGTCTGTGGGAGGAAACCAGAGTACCCGGAGAAAACCCACGCATGCACGGAGAGAACATGCAAACTCCACCCAGAAAAGCCCCTGGACCGGGATTTGAACCAGGGACCTGCTCGCTGAGAGGCAGTAGCTCTACCAGTTGCGCCACCGTGCTGCCCCCTTCATAACTCATTGTTTAAATTTAGTTTAAAATAGTAAAAACAATTTTTTTTTTTTATAATGTCCCGAAAAGCACCCTCCAACAGACTTTAAGTGGTCCACGGGCCACCAGTTGATCATCAGTGATGCAGAAGGTCTTGCAGGAGCCATTTAGTGAACGAAGGGCCAAGAATGTCTCTTTAGATGGTAAAGGATGAAGCAAATTGCTCTAAACTAACATGACTGTTTATTGACCGACAAACATCAAATCTCCAGGAAAACACAAGTATGTTATATAAAAATACAAATGAAGCAGGGACAGATGGCAAGTATTACGCCTAAAAACAACTGGAATTTTATTCTGAAGCTCAAGACACTTCTCTTCCTTTATCAGTTCTACAATGTCTGGGGTGTGCAGAGTTCACAGCTGCAGGTTAGACTGCAACTACTCACCCCCACAGTGCAGGCTCGTTAGACTCTCTGTCTGGTTCAGACAGATGTTCGGATGTTTACTGCTGCATTGTGTGTAAAAGTTGAAATCTGAGACCTCCTCCTCTGTTTAAAGCTGTTTCTTCCTGTTTGATGTAAAAGCTTCATTTAGCAGCCAGGCAGACAAATGAAAGGGTCTAACGAGCCTCCACTGTGAGGATGAGTAGTTCCTGTCTAACCTGCAGCTGTGAGCTCCACACACTCCAGACGTCTTCAGCTTCAGAATGAAAGTCCAGTCGTGTTTGGTTTTTAGCCTTTTTTGGATTTACAGAGCATCCAGAAAGTTTTCAGAGCTTCACTTTCATTTGAACGAACATTTTGTTTTGTTACAGCCTTAATTCAAATTGTGTTAAATTAATCTGTTTACTCAAAATTCTACACAACAATACCCCATTATGTTCTTCATCTGCAGCTCCTCTAATCTGTGGGGTCCCTCAAGAGGTCTATCAAGGCCCACTGCTTTTTAATCTTTACATGTTGTCTTTGACGTCCATTTTTAGAAAATACATTTCATTGCTTTGCTGATGATACTCAGTTGTACCGTATATGGCCATTAATTCAGAGAGGGTCACTCCGCTGGAACCACTCTTGAACTGTAAACCACAACAAAGTCTGGTTGAAACTACATTTCTTGAATTTAACTGAAAATAAAACGGTCATCAGCTTTGGTAAATGTACTGCTCCCGACTCTCTTGGCCCCTTGGATTCATGCAACCACTCCACTGTCAGGAATCTGGGAGTTATTTTCGGTAGTACTTTTAACTTAGACAAACGGATAAATCCAGTTTCTTCCATCTAAGACTCATTGCCATTGTGAAGTCTTGTCTCCCCTTCAGAGACCTTGAAAAGGTGATTCACGCTTGTATTACCTCCCGTTTGAACTATTGTAATTCATTTTATGTTTGTTTAGATAAATCATCTTTGAATCGTTTACAATCTGTCCAGAACCAGCAGCTCGTCTTTTAACAGCAACTACAAAACATGAACACATAACCTCTGTCCTGACTTCTCTCCACTGGCTTCACGTCCACGTCAGGATTGGTTTTAAGATTTTATTGCTTGTGTTTAAAGTCTTAAGATCTGGCCCCGTCTTATTTATGTGAACTTCTTAACAGCTAGACTCCAGTAGTAACTTTCCAGTCTACCCACCAGTTCCTCTCAGATGTCCCCAGATCCAAAGTGAAGTCCAGAGGTGATCGGTCTTTTTTCAGCTGCTGCTCCTGATCTGTGGAACAGTTCACCTGATCATTTAAAGAGACTGTTGACGCTTTAAATCTTTGCCCCTGGCGTTTGATCGAGGCGCAGTCTGAGAACCAGCTGGAGCAGATTTTTCTTGTATTTTATTCACTTTCTTTTCCCACAGTGACACAAGATGTATTTTCTTGCTCTTCTTTCTTGTTTTCATTTTAATTTGACTAAACTGTAAAACACTTTGGTTTACTTTTGTTGTTTTCATGTACTATATAAATAAAATGACAGTGGCGTTATGACGATGAGAAAAAATATTTTTAGAGATTTGTACAATTTTATTAAATTCAGATAACCTAAGAAATCACATTTACATAAGTATTCACAGCCATGAAGCTCGAACTGAATTCAGGAACGGTTTCCACTGATCATCCTTGAGATGTTTCTACAACTTCAATGGAGTCCAGCTGTGGTCAATTCAGTTGATTGGACTTGATTTGGAAACACATCTGTCTGTAGAAGGTCCCACAGCTGACGGTGATGTCAGAGCAAACACCAAGCATGAGGTCAAAGGAACTGTCTGTACCTCTGAGACAGGATTGTGTTGAGGAACAAATCTGGGGAATGAAACAGAAACATATCTGCTGCTTTGAAGGTCCCAGTGAGCCCAGTGGCCTCCATCATTCGTAAATGGAAGAAGTTTGGAACCACCATGACTCTTCATAGAGCTGGACGACCGTCTAAACTGAGCGATCTGAGGAGAAGAGTCTGAGTCAGTGAGGTGACCAAGAACCTGATGGTCACTCTGTCAGAGCTCCAGTGTTCCTCTGTGGAGAGAGGAGAACCTTCCAGAAGGACAACCATCTCTGCAACAATCCACCAATCAGACCTGTATGGTGGAGTGACCAGATGAAAGACACTCCTTAATAAAAGAAACATGGCAGACGTCTGGAGTTTGACACAAGGACCTGAAGGACTCTCAGACCAGGAGAAACAAACTTCTCTGGTCTGATGAGACAAAGACTGAACTCTTTGGTCTGAACGTCAGGCGTCACGTTTGGAGGAAACCAGCTCCTCACCAGGTTGGAGAACTTCATTCTGCACATGTTGCTCATGAACAAAAGGGTTGGGGGCGCTTGGACTGTTTGATTTGTACCATCTGACGGTTACACAGGCTCGAGTCCACGAGTTGAACATTTGGAATTAAATCCAGCCTTCCATCTTTGTCGTTTCATTGATGATTATTTATTTTAGTTTGATTTTTAAAAAAGTGATATTGTAATTAATTTCACACTAGTCGTCCTTCATTAACTTATGACTAAAAACAAAAGGTGGTCATGGAGCTTCAAAGTCCTCCACTTGAAGTGGAATAAAAGAATGATTAACAAAAGAAATAGTTTTATGCTTGTTTTAATTTGTCTTCTGTTTGTTTGTCCAGTCCAGGCTCACTCGGCATCCTGCAGGTTCGTCTCCCTGTCAGTAACCATGGCAACAGTGGACCAGGGTTCATCTGATTGACAACCAGCACCCACAAACTTTACCTGAACTGCACCTAGGGCCAACCCCACCCCCCCCTCGGTCCGGACCCCAGGTACTGATCAACTGACACCCCGTGGACCGAGGGCTCCCTGCAGAGCAGCACCATCCCGTGGCTATTTATGGTTTATTTGTCTGATAAATTGAAATAACAAAGATATTTAATTTTGTAAAAGATTTTCTAAGTATTTGATTATATGTGGTTTATTTATTCTTGAACATGTTTATTGGCTTCGCTAGCACATGTCAGAGACGTTTAATTTCTCAGCCAGTCGAAGAGATTCTGGTTCAGCGTTCTATAAAATGGGACGGAGAAGAAACCAAGCTGCACCGTCGGCCATGTTCCCATCAGTGTTTGAGTGTTAGCAGCGTTAGCTCGTACACTTCAGCTGCAAACAGCTCCAACCATTGAATGAAAAGTGTTTTCTTCTTGTGTCCCTCCAAAGCACTTTGACGCCCCCAGCTGGGATCATTGAGGGGTCCCCCACCCCGTTAGTCCCTCTAGACAGGAGTATGCTCCTTTAGGTGGAGAAATGTTTCTTCAGTTTGAAAGCTGCCAGTTCTTACGGTCGTCTTTGTTTCTTTTTGGACTTTGTAAGGGCGGCCATCTTTAGAACAGCTCTCCTCTCCGTGCCTCTGAAGGTTCAGGACAACAGTTGTCACTTTCATTCTCTACAAATGGACAAAAACCCAAGTCCTAAAAAGTTGGGACTTTGTGTAAAACATAAAGAAAAAGCAGAATGCGATGATTTGCAAAACTTATGAACCCCTAATTTATTATCTGTGGAACACGGTAAACATCCGATGTTTAAACTAAGAAATGCACAATTTGTGGAAAAACTAACAAAAGGTTGTTTAAAAAAAATGTTTTGAATGAGAAACGGCTGCATAATTTTATAAGAAAGTTGTTTAATTGGCAAGTCTGTCAGGACTCAGAAGTAAAGATGGGCAGGGGTTCATCAGGCTGTAAAACGATTCTCAACCAAAACTAAAACACGTTTTAAATCTCACCTCGTCTTTCTAAAATGTTAAAAATGAACGTCAGGATCTTTGAACACGGGTCTGATTGTCTTCTGGTAAAACTCAGGAACATTCATGGATCTTTGTCTGGAAACTCAACATGCTGCTTAAAGCTCTATCAAACAAAGAATTGAATTCTGTGGGTCAGAGCTCGTTTCAAGTGGAAAACTGAACGTTTTTGTTGGAAACCATAGATGTCCTCATGTCCTCTGTACTAAACAAAGACATGAACAGTTCCAGCTTCTTTAAAAGTCTGCCTCTCTGATGGTATGGGGGTGCATTAGCTCATATAACATCTGGAAAGGCCTCTTTATTAGAGAAGGTTTAGAACAACATGCACTCCCATCCATATGAGCCTTTTTCAGGGAAGACCTGACGTCTTCCAGCAGGACAATGTCCTGCGTCCACCACAGCAGCCCGGATTCAAGAGTCCAGACCCCAACGGAGTCCAGGTGCTGCAGTCCAGACCCCAACGGAGTCCAGGTGCTGCAGTCCAGACCTCTGACCATCTGAAACAGTCAAAGACTGAACAGCTGGAATGATGCATGTCCCTCCAGCAGCTCCTGGATGTTAAAGAAGTGGACACCTGTCCTCACTTTTTAAACGTGTTGCTGCATCAAGTCCAAACATTTAAAAATTAGAATGTCTTTGTTCAAACCTTTGATCTGTTCCCTGTGAATAAATCTGGGATCATGCAGGTCGTTGCATTCTGGTTTTACACACAATCAGGTCCTGGACTTGGGCCAACAAGCTGGTCTATAAAGTCTTACCTGCAGACCAGAGACACCATGAACCCTCAGGCTCAGGTTGGGGCTTTAGGCCTCCCAGCCGGTCTGTTGGTTTCAGAGAAGGTCTTTGTGATCCTCAACGTTGGCTCTCAGAAACCATGACGAGTCAGAACCTCCTCCTTGAACTCTACCGCTCTTTATTTTCATTGTGCCGTTTGTTGTTTTGTTTATTCTTCCGGTGCTCCCGGTTCTTTTTATGAACAGGTGTGTCAGCAGGCCTGGAAGCTTCTCAGTAACTTTTACCAAATACAGTTTGTCTTTGTTACAAATATTTTTTTAATACTTGTGTTTTCCTCAGGGCTGAATCTGATGTAACGTTTTAATTGAGAGGCCTTTGCTGACACTCGGCAGGTGCAGAGCCTGTCCTCACCTGGTACTCCTTACATTCCTGCAGCGACGGCTAATGACTCACTGTTGTACCGTTTGACAACTTTTTGTACCGTACTGTTCACTTCTTGGAGCATCTCTTTGTCAAAATTAAATACTTTGTTCAACCTGCTGGTTGTCTTGGTGACATCTGTGTTCTTGATGTGGAAATATCTGTAAAATGTAAACAGACTCTGTCACACATTTATTACTGTACTAGTACTTTTAGTGTCATGGTAAACTATGAAAAAATTAAGCTACTTGATATTTTATTTAAATTCTGATTCCTCAGCAACTAAAGGTTAACTCATCTGGTTGATAAAACCATGAAGAAAAGTATTGAGACAAACCATATACTATTTACAACTCAGTGTAATGAACAACTCACTGTAAGGAACAACTCACTGTAATGAACAACTCAGTGTAATGAACAACTCACTGTAATGAACAACTCACTGTAATGAACAACTCACTGTAAGGAACAACTCACTGTAAGGAACAACTCACTGTAAGGAACAACTCACTGTAATGAACAAATCACTGTAAGGAACAACTCACTGTAAGGAACAACTCACTGTAATGAACAACTCAGTGTAATGAACAAATCACTGTAAGGAACAAATCACTGTAAGGAACAAATCACTGTAAGGAACAACTCACTGTAAGGAACAACTCACTGTAATGAACAAATCACTGTAAGGAACAACTCACTGTAATGAACAAATCACTGTAAGGAACAACTCACTGTAATGAACAACTCAGTGTAATGAACAACTCACTGTAATGAACAACTCACTGTAATGAACAACTCAGTGTAATGAACAACTCACTGTAATGAACAACTCACTGTAATGAACAAC